GAGACTCCCTGCTTTAGCATTACAATCCCCTAGAATGAGAAGAACATCTTTCTTTGGTGTGAGTTCTAGAAGGTGTTGTAAGTCTCAATTTAATTTCAGTCTCCTCAGCACTGGTGATTGGTGCATAAACGTGGATTATTGTGATGTTAAAAGGTTTACTTGCCTAGGAGGGTTTTTTTTTAATTTAAATGAAGTCAGAAAGGAGGTTGTGAGGGAAGTGAAATGGGGTATACACTGTCAACAAGCCCTAGGCATCTGGTGCTTAGTTTGGGAATGGGGCCATTGGGATACTCTGACTCAGCCATTCTCAACCTTTTTTTTGGGCCTTGGCCAAAAGCATAGTTTGGGAATGGGGCCATTGGGATACTCTGGCTCAGCCATTCTCAACCTTTTTTGGGGCCTTGGCCAAAAGCATAAAATATTGGCCAAATCAGGTTTGCATAAGTCACAAACTGTATAAGGTGGTGCGTGAAGCATTGTTTCCTGTCTGCAGCCCTCTTCAAATGTGCCAGGGGCCCCCAAGGGGTTTGAGAATGGCTGGTCTATCTTCTTTGTCTCTTATAAGTCTCACTTCTACATTCCCCATTAGTCTGCAGCCCTCTTCAAATGTGCCAGGGCCCCCCAAGGGGTTTGAGAATAGCTGGTCTATCTTCTTTGTCTCTTACAAGTCTCACTTCTACATTCCCCATTAAGAGTTGAGTTATTGTAACTTGGTCTGGGCATTTTTTAAAATATTTTTTTGGATTAGCACTCAACCCAGCCTGCCACATGGTCTCTAGAACCCACACAGATGATGGACACATTCTTCTCAAGACATACTACTGTATAAATAATCCTGTCAATTCTATAGGCTGCAGTGAAGTTCCAAATAGATTTTAGAACTACATTCATTAACTGTTGGAAAGTGGCGATCGTCCTATACAACTCAAAGGATGTGTCTGTTAAATTGGGGGGGGGATGTCGCAAAGGCTGTTTTTTCCTTATTGTCGGGGGTAAGCGTATCTTCCATTACCCTTTCGTCTGAGCCAATGAGAAGTGGTAAAAGGGGGAGGGGTGTCACATTCCTCTCTCTGATGCTGATGTCAAACTCATTGTCTTGTCACTTGAATATTTATGTAAGTTTTTTTTAAGGGAAATCACCCCAGAGGGAGACCATGACTGTGATACAAGGATGTCTGCAAGTGGGATCTGAAGGCCTTAGGAATGGACCTCAACAGATGGGAAACCTTGACATCTGAGCGTTCAGCCTGGAGGCAGGTGGTGCATCATGGCCTCTCCCAATTTGAAGAGACACTTGTCCAGCAGGCCAAGGCAAAGAGGCAGTCCCCAAAGCAGCAAAATCAGTGAGCTGGATGGGACAGATTGTATTTGTCTTCAGTGTGGAAGGGATTGTCGCTCTTGAATTGGCCTTCTCAGCCACACTAGATGCTGTTCCAAGTCCTCTATTCAGAGCATGTTACCATAGTCTTTCGAGACTGAAGGCTGCCTAAATCTAAAAAAAGTATATTTAAATAATAACAGGAATAAAAGTATTTTCTTTGACGATATTCACTTCTTGTCTTCCTCTTTCATTGCCACCAACTACCAACTTCAGAAATATATATGTATATACTGTATTTTCTCTTTCACTCAAGCCCTTATAACACCCTCTAGCCCTCAGGTTCAACTCAGCACCACTCAGCTTGGACAGAACTTATATGGTTTTGTTAAAATAACACTGTGACTAAAGAATGTTGTTTATGCTGGACTTTTTGTTTGTAGCCTTGTATGCCATCTCTAGTTTGCTTGAATGGAGAGACTTTTCTGGCCTGAGCCGGTTAAAATAATTTATCTGGTATCTGTAAATAACCACAGTAATTATTAATTTCACATTGGAAATCTGTGTGTTATGTCTCCTCTATGTTTAGAGTATAATAGACAAGAAACGTTACATATTAAGCATCATGTCAAAACATCTCTCTACAGGTTGACATGAGAGGATGGGGAGTACAATGTATGTCTTATTGGTTATTATAATATTGAATAAATGGAAACTGTGGTTTAAAGAGTTTCTCATAATTGTGCACTATATTTTCAGCTATGACTCACCAGGAAAGTCACCTTGGGATTGCAAGTGAATAGTTAATGAGAATTGTTAACTGTGTGTGCAACAGCAATTTAAAATTTTAATGTTAGGGATTATAAGGAAAGGAGTTGAAAATCTGGTAGGTGAAAAGGTTTATGAAACATAACGTTCACCTTTGTGTCTAGCTCTGTATTTTCTACTGTGATTGGTAATATCTTTCAGGGCTTTCCCCTGCCTCCCTAAAATATTTTTACCAGAGACTGGGTTTGGGGGCATGCTTATACTCACTGAACACTGCTCCACTACTGAGCTGTATAGTTTTAGGAAGATGCATTAAGATGTTGTTAACAGGTTAAATTTTTTCACCACACACCTTCTGAAGCGTGTTGTGGGCAGAGTAAATATTTAAATTTATTGTATGCTAGTGGCTGTGTACGGAATAGATGAATCAACCCTTCACAAAAGGCTATGGGGGACTGGCACTTATTGTTGTTGTTGGTATAACAGGTTGGTGATAGAGCCGGGGATGACAAGCAGGAGAAAGTGGGTTACTATTCACACAGGCACTGACACACACACAACAGGAGGGGATCTGGGGTAGGGCCTTGACTTTCTGTCTCTGGTAATAAGGCGGGCAGGAACAGTCTGGCGAACTGGGTAGCTTAAGCATGTTTTACACTGGGTTTTACTTACCTTACTAGCCAAGCCTACACTGACAAGTATTTTTATAAGGTGCTTCGGCCTGACATTCAAGCTTCCGTTGGCTTCAGTGGAGCAAGGGACGGGGAAGGGATTTTGCTTCGATGTTTGTTCTGACAAAGTAGAACCGGTGCGGACTGGGCGGCAAAGGCGAGTCGAGCGCTTTACTAGCGAAATAATACAACTCGGTCCTCTTCAGAGGGACTCACAAGATACCAGCAAAACAACAACAGCTACTCCCGGCATTTATTGTATCTGCCTACAGTTGCCTTCTTTCCAGTGTAATTCGAGAGATCTCAGGGCAACCCTTGCTGACAGCTCCCCGCTTTCCTTTCAAGCAAAGGTTGTGGCCAGAGCAGCTCTCCCGCCGGAGACCTTTCGCCCTTCCACCGCCGAGGGTTTCGCAAGGTAGCCAGAAGATTCCCAAGCCGATTCCATGCCGCTAAGCCGCGACAAGCCGAGGGGGGAGCGGCGCGTCCGCCACTTGCCCGCGGCGTGGGTGGCTGAGTCGCTGAACTTTTCCCGCCCAGAAGGCGGGAGGAACCGAGGGGCTCTCCTGCCCCTCGGTGGGAAATGGGGAAGCCGCGGGGCGAGCGGTGGGTTTTGTAGGCAGGGGCTGAGCTTGAGGCGGAAGAGGAGGCCTCGGGAGAAAGCGCCCGGCCCAGGGGCAAAGGCCGCCATGGAGGAGTCCCGCCGTGGGGATGGCGCGCCTGTGAAGACGCGGGAGCCCATGTCCTCCTCCTCCTCCTCCTCGGGGGCCAGTCGACTGTGGAGGCTCAGCAACCTGCTCATGGCCCTCTTCTTCGGGCTAGCCGGGGCCGTGCAGGTCGGCGGCCGCGCAGGGCTGGGCGTAGGGTGAGCGGCTGGGCAAGCCTCTCTCCGGGCAGGGGCTGCGCCCCTCTCAGCCGGCGGGGCGGCGCAAGGCGGAGAGCCCAAGCGCAGAAAAGCGAAGGGCGGCGGGGCTAATCAAGCCGTCGCCGGTCCCCGAGGCCGAGCAAGGCGAAGTGGGGCTGGGAAGTCGGGAAGGGCAGTGGGTATTTGTTTTTGGATGATTTCATTCCGCTCATTCGCCGCCCAATCACAAGAAAAATCCCCCTGGGAAGCGTCCGAAGAGGGGCCAGGCGCCGCACTGCGGGGCATTCGGGCCGGTCTTACGAGGATACTTGCCTGCCTTTGCCCTTCTAGTACTCACCTGAGCCCAGGGCAGGTGGAAAGAGGGCTGGACAGGATGCGTGGGGCAGTTGGGGTCAAGGACACTGGCCGGCCCAGTGCTCACTAACTAAAGGACCATTCATTAAGAATAAAAACAAGGGTGGCTGATACCTTGAGGAGGCTACTAACATCTCAGCAGGCTTCACAATTTTAGGTGGAGCCCGGAGGGAGTTTTATTTCCCCACGGTGCCTCCTGTGGGCAGAGCCAGCTTGTGTGGCTTTGGGAAGCTGCATGATCTTGGGATGTCCTCAGAAGAAGGGAAACGGTAACCCACTTCTGAGGACTCTACCTAGAAGACCCCCCAAAAGGGTTGCTACAAATTGAGGTTGAGGGCACATGATGATGATTAACAACTCAACAAATCCGCTAGTTTTTGAGCCCTGCAGGACTCATCAGCTTGGGCCTTATAGAGCAGAGAGGGGTGGAAAAGTGCCACAACCATCTTGGCCAGATGTTGAGGCCGGGCTTTCTTGTTAGATCCAAAATGGAGTCTGCACTTGTTTATAATACTACTTATGCTTTACGAAGTCAGATAAAGAAGTGTCCCACATCCACTAAAGTTTATGCCAGAATACAATTGGTTTTATTTAAAGATGTCATAAATGTTGTTTTGCTGCAGCATACCAATATAGTGTATGCCATCAATATAATTATATATTTGACGGCATACACTAAATTATATATTTGAGGGCATACACAATATAATTGACGGCATACACTAAAATTCAGGTCTATAGAACCTGTGTCCTGAGCACACTCCTGTACTGCAGCGAGTCCTGGACCCTTTGTGGACGGTAGGAGAGGAAGCTGAACACCTATATGCGTTGTCTCCGACGCATTTTTGGTATCACCTGGCAGGACAAAGTTCCAAATAGAGTAGTCCTAGAACGAGCTGGAATTTTTAGCATGTATACATTACTGAAACAGCGCCGTCTATGTTGGCTCGGGCATGTCATGAGAATGGCTGATGGTCGGATTCCAAAAGATCTCCTGTATGGAGAATTAGCGCAGGGAAATCGACCCAGAGGGAGACCACAGCTGCGATACAAGGATATCTGCAAACGGGATCTGAAGGCCTTAGGAATGGACCTCAACAGATGGGAAACCTTGACATCTGAGCGTTCAGCCTTGAGGCAGGCAGTGCATCATAGTCTCTCCCAGTTTGAAGTGACACTTGTCCAGCAGGCCGAGGCAAAGAGGCAGTCCCAAAGCCAGCAAAACCAGGAAGCTGGACAGGGAACAGATTGTACTTGTCTTCAGTGTGGAAGGGATTGTCGCTCTCGAATTGGCCTTCTCAGCCACACCAGACGCTGTTCCAAGACCTCTGTACAGAGCACGATACCATAGTCTCTCGAGACTGAAGGATGCCTACTACTACCAATATGCAGATATCTCCTGGCCAGAATATGTATACAAACACACACAAAACCTCCAAGAGCATCCTCCTTTCCCTTGCCTAATTCTTGGTTATATTGACTTAGACCAGAACCAATTATTTCATTTTTGATTTGTACACTAGTTGAGGACCTGGTGGAACTTTTAAAAAAGCCAAAAGGGTTCTTACTACTACACAAAGCTTCAGCCACCATCCCAGTCCTGTAGACATCCGTACAGTTTTCAGGTTTCTAATACTGGATTAGAATGATTGCTGTCATTTATTTTATTTATTTATTTGATTTTTACCTCACCCCTCTAGACCATGTCATAACACTGTAGCCATTTTTCATACTTACTCAGTTTATCTCAATTCATCCTAAATGAGGAAGCATTTCTTACAATGATGAGGGAGGCAAAGGGGACTGTGCTGTTCAAGAGCGTGTGTACAGACTTCCGTGCATGGTATGCATGAAAAGGCTAAATACTATGTGTGTATGTATTAAATCTGCAAAAATTCTCAGGTATCTGCTTTAACTGTTTTGGGCTGGGAAGAAGTAATATCCCTAAGTCAAACTGTTCAAATTGGAGACTTGGAGATGAATACTTGGATCCCATTGATTTGTGGGTGAGTTTGAAGAATATTTATGTTATGCACAAGTTAATATTTATTGCATTGTTTCTTGCCTTCTTTGTTGCAGGTCAATGATCCTGATCCTGGACTTTGGATAGTGAGTATAAATTCAGAGACAAACACAAGTGCTGGAGAGTGTGGCATTGGCAGAAGTAAATGTAATGAAGCAATCTTATAAAATCTCAAGCCTTTCATCTGTCTGAAGCTGTTCTCTAATGCTTGACTCAGGTTCCTTTCATTTTGTTTTGGGCTTTTGGTGATTAACGCTTTGTTTCATTTAACTGCATTTATTTTATTATTATGTTTAATACTTTAAAAAATTTTTTAGTATACGTAAATGTTTCTCAACAGATTATATTTCAAGACAAGTAAAACAATAGAAAAAGCAACAAAACAATAATAAAATCAAAAGGAAGCAGATAAAAGATAGTAAATCAGCACAGTGAAATTAAAATTGCTTGGCGAGGGACAGGAACCGGAATTAACATCAACAGAGAATCCCTGGCTAGAGCATTGCACAGGCAGGGTACCACAGCTGAGAAGGCCTTTTCTTACTATTATCATTTTCTACATTTCATGTGCCATCTGGAAGAGAATCTGCAAAGATTACCTCATTGTATGGGCAGACGTATTGGGAAAACTGTTTCTTTTGCTTCCTAGACCTTGAGTTGCCTAGAGCTTCAATGCAGTTTAAGACATGTGTAGGAAAATGGCAAGAGCCAATGCAGTTGCTTACACACCATTGATATCAAACAGCTCTACTTTAAATTAGCTGCCATTTTTGAGTAATCTTGAAAGTTAACACCACATACAATACATGGTGACAGTCTGATTGCCAGGTAGTATCCCAGTTTCAAATAGTAAAGAGGGTTCTGTGCCACTGAAGCTACTTGGACCTCTAACGACAAAGCTGAATTGAAGAGAACTGCCAACCTGCAAAGCTTCCAAGGGCGGAGGGCTTTATCTCCACACAAACAGGCTGCACAGTTCACCTCTCAAAAGTGAATCACTCAGCAACAGTGATCATGTCTCTTGCAGTTGTCACATCAAGTTGCATAATTCTACACTGATGGTGATCTTTTGGGCAGTTTCTTTAGCATGTTCTTTTACCTTTATGCGCAGTACTGTATTATGATCTGGTTTTTTCCCCTTACATATGCAAATGAAGTTTCTTTGCTTTTCTGGGGTCTTGTACTACTGCTTCTTGTAAGACAAGCACACTCTGCTTTCCTGATTAGGTTATTTTAGATCTATACACCACTTCTCTTTGTTTGATCAGGTACTTCATTGTTCTGGCAATCTAGATGGAGTGTTTTGCCCTTTCTTTACTCCAGCCTTTGATTTCTCTTAAGCAAATCTGTTATATCTCACTCTCAGGTTGTGTACTCTGTGCCTGCAGCTCTCACATTGGTTGTTTGCCTCAACCCACCAATTGCAGGTAGAGTATCAGTATCCCAAATAGATGTTCTCTTCTGGTCTCCAATAGAGTTTGGTCATACATCTCTTCCGCTTTTTAAAAAAATATATAGTTATAATTAAAAATAAACCTTTAAGCTGTGTCTTAGTAGCTTGTGTCAGTTGACCAGACAAATCACATTCTTACTCCTTTTTTTAAATTTACGATTGGTCAGAATCTTGTTGGTGTTTGTGTATGGTTTGCATAATGGCTAACTGTAATTAATTAACAAGGTGCCATGGCATTTCTCTGTCACATCCCTGGTAATGCATTAGACTGTATTTGAGATGTGCTACTGCGTCCTTGTCAGTTAACCATTATTAGCTGCAATAAATTGTACGGATGCTATGGGAACACCAGTGGGGTTCTGACATGCTGTGGTGCTGAGTGTAAAAATGGATATTTGTTCCAGATTTTTATATTCCTGACATTTTGGTGAAAACTCCTAATTTTGTAAACTTTATTTCTTCATTTTAATTCCTCTTGTGCCTGTTCCTTCCTGTTTTTCAGCCTTCACACTTGTACTATTTTGTAGTCAGATGTTTTCAGTATTCCTTTCTTTTAAAAACATTTTTCCTTGAATATCCAGGTTTTAAAAAGAGATGCTTGTCATTACTTTGTCACTGTTACACTAAAATGTTTTGTTATGCCATTTAGAAAATGCCATGACCAGGGTCTAGTTTAGTTACTCATTCAGTGAGCCTTTGCATGAGAAGTTTGGCATTTGAGGAGCTGCTGGAAGGAAGCATCTGCTATCTCCTTAAGCAGGCAAAAACCTCATTAGTTTTGACCTGTGTGGTTCCTGCTTGCACAATATTAGGTAGCGGACCCAAGCAGAACTATGCACATGTAGCATTATGATCTGCTGACATTCAACATGATTCTGGCCTGAGCCTCTCTGTGTCCTTAAAAATGCCTGTGGAATTGTATTTGTTTACCAGCTTAACCCAAGTCAGTAAAAATCTGCTTCTGAAACACTTGATTTTTATTCTGTCATTGTTCTTTCTTTTCCTTTGAAACATGTTCTACAGGGTCCTGGCTACTGTCTCCCAGCTTTCACATCCTAACTGGTTATTTTCCTTAAGTCATAACCTAGATCTCATGTGCCTCCTAGCTACTATTTCTGCTTTTTGCACCACAGTCACTCATATACATTAATGATTTGACACATTCCCTCATTTTATATATTTTATACCTGCATGAAGAATTACTGTCTTTCATGATCTGGAGATTTGTAAAACGTCACCCAAATAAATTATTTGCTCTCTTTTATTGTTTGAAGGCCTCTGAATAAATTATTAAAGAAAAA